AAATTCGATTAAGTATATATGAAACAATTTTGGTTTAATTTAGCTTACTTTTTAACTAAACAGAATTGATTTTTGGAATAAAAAAATCAGTTCAAATCGATTTAACCTTAACGGGTTGGTTCAAATGGATTTAAGCACCCCTAGCCCTAGTAACATTGGACTTCGACATGGCCTCTAACTAGTACTTCTATCAAGAATTTCCAACACCAATTTTCTTCTATAAAGCGTGATGCAAATTTGACTTAGCTAAGTATGCAAAAGTCGGTAGATAAAGAAGTGATATTTAGGAAATGAACTAGAATTTGCGACATCTAATTGGTGTAATTTATGCTTTGAATGATTGAAATAGAAACAAGTCAACGGTTCGTATCTTTTCAGATACCCTCGGAAGTCAACCCCCAACTTAGCACCTCTCCTCTGCCATCACCACCCATGTATGTGTATATACATATTGAAATCTCGACCTTGCAAAAGACTGCAGAGAGTAAGGCACTAGGCCTTGATTTGGATCGGTGTGAAGCACAACCTTATCGATATTTAAATCAAATTTCGATGTACAGTAAGTAGGGAAGAAGTGGATACCATTCTAAGAGACTGACTCAAGTTGAGGGAGAGAGAATAAAATGTCATATGTCAATACTCATCATTATGGCTTTTGCTGCTGCGATGCTTCGTTAATGGCTCGATTTTATATGTTGAACTCGTTAATGGTTCCAACTAAAATGAAAACAATAGCATCATATACTAATGTTGATGTTTGATGTTGACATTAAATGTCTGCCGCATGTCAAGCACCCATCAATATGTTGTCTCCCCTTAGTTCCTAAAAGAGTGACAGCCAAGAAAGTAAAATGTTATAGTAATCGACGCACACACACAGTAGGATTCCAACTCAACTCACGTGGTAAAGCATGACTCGTAGAAGAGCTTAGCTTGTGGGAGATTACTCAGTTGCACTCATATAGTCAACAGCATCGCATTAACTATATGCCATGCCAGCTTGAAATAATTTTTAATACGACTAATGACCTCAAGCTCTTCAAAATGAACCGTCGACAAAACAAATAAAATGTACTCCATAGATTCTCCCCCATCAGAATTGAGGCACTGAAAAAGATGTCTGGAAAATGTTGTGGCCAGGTAAAACGAGTTGGTGGAAACAGGCTGCAATCTTCCCGAGATGACACCTGACAAACTTGCTTGCTCTCTCTCTCTCTCTCTCATGTTAAAGCAAAGAAGGGCTTCGATACTCTCACTTAGGCGATCCTACAGAGAAGAATGGGCTGTGCTACAGGAAAGCCGAGGAATTTGAGCTTTGTGGTGGCCATATATTGACCGAACATGCATGCAGCAAACATAGAACCTACTAAAACGATCGACAGCAACTTCTCATTCTAAGATGAAGCGGTCATCAATTCCATGCAGCTACTGATGTCCGCTTACAAATAGCGAGAGACGGAGGTTTGCACCGGTTGTAAGTGAGGCCAACAGCATCATTTCACTTTGTTCCTCGGAGAAGATCAAGTTACCCCGGGCTTGTGGCGTCAGAACTTTAGCATCTCGCAGTAAAGCTTGCAGATTCTCGATTGCCTTCTTCCACTTTCTTCGCAGTCGGGTAATTAAACGTCTCATGAAGCTTTTGAAGGTTGAAGAAAACATCACTTGATTTCTTTTTCTTCTTTTCCTCGAACGTGTTATGGGCAGCGCTAAAATTTAATGGGAGTCGAAAGGCTTTTCCAAGTTTACTTCTTCGTGGACATTCGACACCATTCGTTTGTCCTTGTTCTACTTACTTCGGCGAGGATAGGAGAACATGAAGCCTATATCCCTACTAAAGGTGCAGTAGAGTAGGGGCATCATCAGCACCCCATTACAAACCAAATTATGTTAGCATCCAAGAAAAGGTGTGGATGGAGATGGGGGTGTCTGAGGAGTGAGTACCAGGGACTGTTCACATCGAACAAGCCTTACGAATGGGAAAGAGAGACTTCACCATCGGGCAGAGAAAACAAAACCTGATCAAAGACAAAGGAAGATGCCGAGTTACCTTTAGGGGGGCTACTGATAAATTAAAAGGGAGGGTTGTGCGTTCGTGCGGAGATGCAACATGATGCCTTCTCCAAGGCACAATATAAAGTTGAACCAACGCATTTTGCTTGTCTGATGATGCCTCATGGGAGAGAAGAGAAGCCTTTACTTTTTCCTTGTGTTGTAGGATAAAGCATGATGACAGGAGGACACTGGGAAAGACTCCCACTGGTTACTCTTGTCGCCTGGGCCACTGCTTCGATAGGCGGCAGCAAATGTTCACTGATTCCGAGTCCAAGGATTACAGTATGTGAGCGAGCAGCGTCCTCAGCAGCTCAAGCTCACCTAAACATGGATCAGCAGCTCTCTTTTTTGGTTCACAGGAACCTCGACAGAAAGAAATCTTGCAGGTTCCACGGATACCAGCACATAGATCTCATGATAAGTACGAGAGAGAGAGAGATCAGATCTTTACTTATGAACCCTCTAACACTGCCGATTCTCTCATGCTTTGCTCCATCATTCATACACACCTTTCTCATCATGCTTGCTTGCTCTCCAAGTCTGATTAATACGAAGCGATAGATTGGTCGAACACTTCAATTTATTAGAATCAAAATAAAATTCTTCCTTAAATTAATTCAAATTAAAGCCTGAGTTGACCGAGTGTTTACATTCTCCCTCCATTAAAGTTTGGAGATTCGTAAGACATGTTTCTAGTTAAAATTCTTATTCAATTAATTTGGGCACACTAAACAATATGGTTTATAGTAAAGCATCTACAAATATTTACCCATCCTAACACAAGCAGGCTTTGCACTTATTACCCACTTTAGACGTCGACATTGATTGCCTTTATTGGGCCGTTATCACTGTAATCCACTGGGCTTTATGTGTTGCATATGTCTTGCCAGATTGTCTACTATACCATCCAACTGATACCAATTAAATACAAAAATGAAGGCATCAAAAATTGAGAATGTCTATCCAATCATGTAGTGGTTCTAAATAGTACTGTTTTATATGTATTCAGCTATTTATTGATGAGGGAGAAAAGGTTAGAAAGATATTTTTGCCCCCCTTTTTTTTTATCTGACTTAAAACCACTGAATCCAATAGTGGGAAACAGTCCCTCCTTTTCTTCTCTCTAAAGTTTTGATTTGATTGGCAAAATGGAGGAGACAGAATTATGTCATCAGCACCCGATCGAACCTGCAGGCTTCGGTCCATCCTTGATGTGAAGTGTGATTGAGACATCACTCGATCCATCAGTAAGTTCTTTTGCAGCCATCCATGCCGGAATAGCAAGACAACTCGTTCGACTCACTAGCAAGACTATCTATCTCACTGCCATTGTGGGGGATGATGAGTCGGAGATGGGATCTTTCCAAGGCCCAATGTCACTGAGGGAGAGAAGCCTCCACACAGCTTGGAGAACCACAATAGCATGAGGACATCCCAACCTCTCTCTCTCTCTCTCTCTCAAGGATCATTGATGATGGAAATGAGAGTGTAATCAACTTCTCTTTATCGTACTTTACATACGTCTAATGTAGTCTGGGATTTATGAACTTATGTTTGAGCTTGACATGGTCACATTCACTTAATAGATGTTGTGGTAATGTCGGAAAGTCTTTGTTATAATAACTAATGATAAATCAATCTCATGCATTAGTATTTTGATAAAACTTTTACGGATCAACATAAGATTAATGTGATTCAATAACTCTCATCTACATTTATCGAAGAAAATTAAAATTTTCAATACATAAAGATCAAGATCCTTGGGTTATCCTGAACGATTTTTTTTATCCTCCTATAGAAATATTGAAAAAAAAAAATTTCTATCCTTTTTAGAAAAATTATCGAAAAACTCTTAGAAGCATCAAAAAATATTTTCTTTATATCTTTATCTCTCATCAAAACCTTAAAACCGAATGTGTATTTATAGTAAAAGATATTAGTTTATAAAAAAAATAAAATTAAATATAATTAATATTTTTAAAAAAATATTTAACAATCCTAATCATTTTTATTGTCAACCACAAAGTCATGAGATTGAACTAAGAATAAATACGTTTTATCCTCCCGAACCAATAAAGGTTGACG